TGGTAAGCCCTTAAAAGGTTCATGTCTACACAAAGAGCCCTTGGTCGTGCTGCTAATTTCAGCTATTAACATTGATGAAGTGACAGCCTTAATAACCTAAAGTAACTTTGAAATTGGTGCTGCTTTCAGTGGTGGAGTTGGACCAGATGACCTCCGGAGGTCCCTTGCCACCTAAATCATTCTAGGATGCTATATTGGTTGCTGCACGTGGGGGTTCACATTACTTGACTTAGCTGCCTGTAGTAAGTGGAAAAAGATAGATTCTCCTGGAAGGTGATGCCGAGCATAGGCTTATTTAGATGCTAAGATAATAGCTTGCAGGAACAATTTATACATAGCCAAGGACACTACTCTCCTAGTCAAGGCGCTCAGATATATATATTCTCTAGCAGGCTTAAATGCCGGTTTTGCACTAAGAGACTTAAACTTCAGTGCAGATCCGTTTTTTTATACCTAAACAGAGACTGCTGACTATATAAAAATATGTTGTGGTTGTATGTCTGTAGTAGGAACTAGAACAAAACTATGGGAGCTGGCAGGAAACAGATATTGTTGAAGACATATTCCTGAATTGCGAATTGCCTAAATGATCAGAATAGCTTTATGCAAATTATATTTATACAGATGATACAGCTTCAAGAGGGAGGGGAGTTTTGGCGATGCATAGCATAGAACTGGAAACGTCAACAAATGGCATGAGAAGTCAAGTTTAAACTTTATGTTAAATCAGAACTTAGAACAGTTAATTATTCACTGAGGAGAGAAGGTGAGAGAAAAAATGGTGAAGCTCTGCACCCAAACAGTAGAGATACTCAGCTGGCATGTGGGAGGTCTGAATTCAGACCTCTTTCCTCTGATTTTTATACTGTTTAGTACATTTTTCATAGGTGAAATGTTTTATAGTGTGCCTTTGTTCACTTTTAGAAATGGCTCCAAGGTTAAGCAGCGTGTGCCAAGGTCAGACTGCAAATTCATGGTAGACCCATGGAAAGCTCACATATTCCTAAATCTTGGATTCTGTCTTGAGATTGTGAGCTTAAACCCGTGTTATTTTTATTTTAAATGTTGTTAGACTCTTTTTTGCATTTTTAACAATATTATTGTTTATTTTGCACATTCTGAATATTTAATTTTCCCGCTTGAATATTTGTTTAATATGCGGATTAGAAATACCGTTTTGTAGGCTTGTAATAATTACACACAGGGAAAAAAAGCTGTTCAGCCACTCAGCCTGTTTACCTGGCCTGTGTAAAAACATTGTTTCCATATTGGATCTGAATAAGTAGTTTATGATCAATAATTCAGTCAAGAAGTTTTGACTTCTTCAAGTTTTAATTCAGCCGTGCATATTACACTGGCACTTTGAATATGGTCAGTACCGTTCGCTTGAGCAATACTTTAGATTGGTGGGGATTTTCCTTAATAATTGTGTAAATTGTCCTTCCATAAGTACTTTTCTAGTAAATTGTAATCAAATAACTGTTTATATGGAAACCTGATGCAATGGAATTCTGACTGTGTTAGAAATGCTTTTTGAAATTGCATATATATGTATGTTTGGAATACTTTAGTCTCTTTCACTCATTTCTATGCCAGAATTTTCACCGGGCTTGAAAAAAGTTGCCATAATCTGGCGACCATTTCATTTCAGAAACTGATCCCTAATGCCTTTGTATCTCTCAGTAACAAGGACCTAAACATATGTAGTTATAAATCCACAGTTTAAATCCTTCTATGATTGTAAGTATTTTGTCTCTATTTCATTAAACTCTCAGATATGTTCCCAAGTTTATTTCTGTAATTGCTCTTCTGGAAATACTTAACTTTAAAAGCACATTGGGTACAATTTTGCTCTAATCTGAGATCTTTGCAGATTTCTAATATTTTTCGTCTCGTTTAGTGAGTGTAATGTATCTAGGTCTTTTTTTATAGAGACAAATGTGTATTCAGTGTAATTCTGTGCAATCAGGAGAAGGGAAAGAAAAAAATAGAGGTTTGGGGTTGTTTTGGGTTTCCTTGATTCAAATCTCATATTTTGCATGCTCCTTGATTGTATTAGTTTATTCATTTTGCCAAACAGACCACAAAGCTGTGAATATTTATTTAGTTCTGTTCCTAATAGTTTTTCTAATAGGGAATTATTTTGGTACAATGAAAGACATTTGTAAATGAAGCAGATAAGCCCTTTGGCAGACAAGGAGTGTTTTGTTCAACACAAGAATTCTATTGTCCACTGCTTTAGTTGTCAAGTGCCTGGGGAGCCCAGGATTTATGATGATGTTACAATGGCCCTTTCAGAGCGAAGTCTAAGAAGCTGTGAGATTCCGTTCCTCTGCTTTTCAGACTTTCAAATCTTTTTATCATGCAAGGACAATGCAGGATTCAGCTGCTTCTTAGGCCACAGGACTGCCCATTTAACATCAGGCATTGTGAAATAATTACCATAGTGACAATGGGTTTGGGGTTTTTTTTCCCCTCTAACTAGCAACATTTCAAAATTGTTCGAGTTGTCACTTTGTATAAACTGACTCTGAAGCCACAGCTTATTTAAAAAAAAAAAAAAAGTCGTCTTGTTAGGAGATTTGATTTAAAGTGCCACTGTGTCAAATCTATTTGGTGCATTGGAACTGTTTAATGCATGGTTTTTTTGAGTTTTCTTGTAATTATAATTGGACTTTGAAATAGCCTTCTGTAAATACAGCAGTTGTTTTTCTTTTGGCTTTTCTCCCTTTTGTAAAGGTTATAGAGTTAGTAGAACCTTACTATTGAAGCCATATTTAACTGCAGCAGAAAATAAGAAAATGAAAGCATAATATGCAGTAAAAGTAATATCTGATACCTATGCATCAATTAATCAGCTAAACTATTTCTTGTGCTATAGTAATGATGGAAATCATTCAGCAGTCTTAAATCACATTTTTCATGAAAATTGGTATCTGGAGGAGTTTCCTTACTTGATGTTAATATGAAGATTTATTTGCTTCAAATAATGATTAGTGCTAAAAAAAATTGATTTGTAACCTCTGATGTCTGTTTAAATGCAGTGTAACTGGAAAATGGAGCCTTTACTTGACAGTTAAATTATTATGTACATGGGCACTTCACTGTCTAGTGGTCAGGTGTATGTACAGAAAAAAGCTTAATAGTGTAGCAGGTCAGGTTGAGAACTGGTGGTATCTATTATCAACTATTTGCTGCTTTTAAAAGCAAAAGCAGATCTTGAAAAAATTAGACCATAGGGATATGTAAGAGGATGTTTTGAGAAATACTTATCCAAGCAACTTCAAAAGTCTTGGGCAAAAAGGAATCTTGAGCTGCAAAGTCATCTGTAAAGATGTTGTCATCTGTAAAGATATTGAACAAATTATCGAAATGAGAAAGTTTATTCAGTTTTAGTCTTTTTTTTCATTCATTCATATAAATTGGGAATTAGTTCAAAAGGGTCCTCTATGAAAAAAAGTTTATTTGCTTGCAAAATGTGCATATTTTAAAATGCCGTATGTACTTCTTAGCAAATTGCATAAATATGTTGCAGATGTAAAGTATTTTTATAAACCAAGTGCTTTATATATTAGTGACTCGGTCACCACACAAAACATACCTTACTTCGTAAAGCTTACCTTAGCAAAATTCACTTTCTAGGAAAGTGTTTTTTATTGAACATGTATCACAAATTTTTAAACAGTGAGTCAACATATATGCAGTCACAACTGGCAATAGAAGCCACATGATTTTATTTCTTCCTTTGATGGAGTGTGAAATATGTTTGTGTAATATTGCAATATTGAATATGTACATTCAGTCAATGTCTATTCATTTCTCCTCAATACATTTGATAGCAACTTTGAAATGTGGCCTGTGTTGCTGAACTATTTTTTGCAAGTAAAACTTGATTGCTTTAACGGGGTGAAAAGTGGGTATAAAATGAAGGATTGATATAGATGAGGCAACCTCAACAGTTAAATACTGCAGAAGATTACTAATTTGGATGTATCAACCCAAATTGCAGAGGCTATTTTGCAATAATTCCTCCTACAAATTCTCAATTAATAAATTTGAAAGTACTGGGTAATCTAGCCTGATTTCCTTGGCTAGAATGAATTCTAGTCCTAGGATTCATTTAGTACCCACGTAAGAGTCTATCAAGGTATCAAATGAGCATCAGAAATACAGTGTCTACATCAGTACATAACAATAGATCACACTGACTATTTCTTTTGTGTTCATTCACGTTATATTTTTTACTTGTGTGGGAACATGTCAGAACCACACAGGATGATGAGGGACTGCTCTGTGAAACTGTGAGCATTCTTAACTTACTAATTTAAAATCAAGAAAAGACTTACCTCGCCTCATAAGAAATGATTCAGCTGGTTTCTTTTTGTTTCTGCACCCTTTATACAGATTGTCTCAACGCACTATCCCATTTATGACAGAATTTTAACCATTGAAACAACCATAGATGAACTTCTTACAGGCAGAGGAGCCTCTTGTTCATTTTCTCCCTTCAAATGTCTCATCCTAGATATCTTTTCCCTACTGTAGTGGTAGTTCTACTTCCTAAAATAATCTACTTCCTTCTCCATCATAATGGTAAAAATACTAATTTTCTAATATGCCTTTAGAGCACTTAGAAATGTTCAAAGCACATCTTGTTGGCTAATGGTATCTGCAGCTGTTACTTTTTTCCCTATGTCTTGGATAATGTTCCCAGAACAGATTTTTCCATAGAACTCTGTTTTTTCAGGAGATAACGAAAAAGATGTGAAAGAATTTTGATATGGCCTCCAGCATTTTAGTTATGGGAACATACTTGCAATAGTAAGTCTGTTAAAGTAAAAGCTATTTGTTAATTTTTTCCTTGGAATTATAAGTATTATTTAATTGCTAGTCTTTAAACTCTCTTTAGGCTACTGTGTTAGTTTATAGGCTAGACTTTAGTTCTCTTTTATTATGGTACCAATATTACATTGGATTTCAAATGAACTTTTTCATTCTTTGCAGCCAGAACTAAAGTACTGGATAAGCGGCAGCAGAAAACTTGCATCTGCGTTGTCATCATAGTCTCATTAAGTGGCATTTCAAATGTGTGGAATATGCTACATAAATTGGCAACAAGTTTCCAGTGGGTGAAGGTAAGTAGTACCCCCGGGGGACTGAGCGAGCGGCTGTGTGGTGCCGGCTGTCTACAATATTTGTACAATATAGGGAACATTTCTGCAATGACTAATCCCTCGCTTGATGTGTGCTGTCAGCCAGTTTTTCTCATGCATCATAGAGTTTATTCATTGGTGTTGATTGTCACTCAGGAGAGCTGATGCTGTAGGACACTGACCATCCTTCTATGTCTGTAAAGCACGGTTTGATAAGGTGCATTTTTTGGATCATTCGTGTTTAATTTCTTGTTTAAAACATTAGAGAACCTCTTGAAAACTCACAGCAATGTACCACTGACGAACACAAATGTGAGACATTTTCTAATATTTAGGCTTCCAACTTGATTTTATCAGTCAAAAAGATTTTCTTATTCTAGGCCTACATGAGTGAGTGAATAATTCCATATTGGTTTATTTCTCTGACATTTTGTGCAATACCTCTGAGATTAATATAACTGCTCAGACTTGGGTTAGAAAAAGAATTTAGTGGTGACTCTCAGAGAAGGCAACTGTAGAAAGTGTGGAAATGGAGCAGTATGGAAAACCCTACACCTAAAAATAGTTATATCTGCTGCTCTGATGCCTTGCCTTTGATTTTTCGTATCCCCTGTGACTTTTAGTTGTGCTATGACTGAAACCAGTGATTCCACAGAGGTGAGAATTGTCCACTTAGAGGAGTATCCATGCTTTTTTAAAATTAACACAGAAACAGATTGAATGTAACAGACAATAAATATGTAAATACTATCATTTTTACAGAATCAAAGGCATGATCCTATCTGAATTGTCTAGGATAGAGAGTACAAAGCCAGGATATTAAAGCTCTTTGTCTAGCTGACTCATTCACAGTTTTTACATTCAATGCACTCAAGTCCTGCTTGACAGATGCTTCATTTCTGTGGAAATGTCCTTGAATGATGATGATCTTATTTCTGGCAGCCAAATGGGCCATATACTTAAAACATCCTTGTGAGCAGCTATATAGGATATGTGTTTATGCTATCCACCAACTTGAAAAGGTAGACTGCAGTAATTAGTATCAGGCTGAAACAAAGTGTATTTGACAGTGATACCAACAGCATTCAATTTAATTTAGGTGGGAAACGTGTAAGCTCCTTTGCTGCTTAGGAAGAGCTGTAGCTCAGCATGTGAGATTCTTATCCTGTCATTCACTAAACACAAGGGCCAAATTTTGCAAACAATGTTCAGTTCTTGTTCAGATACAGCTTTTCAATAGAATGAAGTTAAAAAATGTTTGGTTTGACTGGCGACTTCCTGACTAGGTTTCAAATTCATATATGGGTATCAAGAAGACATAGCAAAAATATCTTAAATTAGTTATGCGTTCAGTTTCTCTGAGTCTCCCCTCCATGCACAGTTATGTGAATTTTCTCACCACTGTTTCAGTTCGCCTCTTCTGGCTTTTTCTTATATCTCACTTCAAGGTTTAGTTCAGGCCTCTTTCTACTCTTCTTGTTCTTGACTTCAGAGCTACACTTCCAAGTAGATTTAATTTTTACAAATTAAAGGCCTGTGAGGAATAACCTTAAAGGAAAACTTGAAGGCCCATCACTCTCACTAGCGTATGAGATAAGTGAATTTAACAAACTGGGTCCCTACTCAAGTTTTTTTCATGTCTTATCTGAGAAACTGTTGTGTCTATTTTCATAGACTTTTTTACATTTCAGAGTTTGAGCCAATCATTTCTGAAAGAAAGCTTCCCGCAGGGTGACTGTGGAATGTTCCCTCTGGCTGGAGTGTGAAGTGCCTCCCTCCAAAAGAGGAGGGCCATGCACCGCTTTTGTTAATTATCATGTAAACCTGGGCATCCATATGCTTCTTAAATTCTCTTCTCTTCTTTTGAAGGATCTTTCTTTTTTAAATTGTTTCCAGCTGTGCCTGTTCAGGAATGCAAATTTCCTGTTATAGTATCTAGATAATCAAACAGTTGAGAAGGTAAAATATTCATGTTTAACTATTGTTAATGGAACAAAGAACAACAGAGCAGACAGAAAGGCACTACTGACCTAATTTGGAGCTATAACATAGCCTTGGCTGCTCAGTCACACCGGAAGACGGCCAGTAGCTTCGTTAAGTGGGAATATCCTGGCTAGAGATTTCCTTCCTATACTGCTTGAATTTTCTATACTGAAGTTCTAGAGGGAGTGAGAGTAGGCACAACAGATAAATTTCTTCTCAATTGTATTACTCTGAAAAGTCTTATATATGAATAAAGGGTCCATGGGACCCCCAAGAAAGAATGCTGCCATATTTAAAAATCCCTCTCATATAGGAGGAGAAACTTAGGTTCACTTACTGGATATATAAACCAGTGTTGTATAATGTATACTTTGCCTCTTTCATATATAACATCCTTTTTATTATTTGTTTTTAATTCTCACATAGTAAGCCTAGACTATAATGGGAAAAAATATGCTATTCCTGACATACAAAGTAGATCTTGGAAGGAAATTGCTGTATAGTTTTGTTTCTGCACAAATATCATGTGGAAAGATTAATTTTCAGTTACTTAGAATCACCTTGTCTTATTGCAGTGCTAGCATGTTTAATGAGGCCTACATATCTGAAGCGAAAGAGTTAAATCTCCAATTGCCGGCTTTAACCTATGTTACATGTCTCACTTCACTTCTATACAAGTAGCCATTTATATAGATTTTAAGACCTGAATTTTTGAATTCTCAACTTCAACCCACAGAGCTACAACACAGAACAAACACCTAGTATATCTGCAGGATTAGCTTATTGTATATATTTTTGGATGTATATTAGTGGCCTAAATTAAATAGGCTCATATATGAAGGCAGAAGCTTTGATTTTAGTAGGATGATGCTCCAAAGTATGTCAAATCCATAGGTGGTTCTTAAAATAAGGCCTGAGAGTGAAACATTAAGAGCAGCAACCTGCTTGTGTCAGTCTCATTTCACATAGTCTGCATGACGAGATGGAGTCTGAATTCGTTACCTGTGCTTTGTTAGTGCTCTTCAAGAGTTGCTTGAGCTAAAACACCTTTGGAAATATTGTTAGAGTAATTATAAGACATAGATCCTGGTCAAACAGGTACCAAAGAAGAACGATTTTTTTTTTTTTTTTCTTTTATAAATTACAGGCTTCTAAAAGACATTAAGTGGGGATATATGTTCACACTGCCCTATCTCTCACAGTCTCAATACCTCGTAATATAGACATTTTAGATTTTCCTATCTGCTTTTTAGTAGAAAATTATTTCTGTGAAGTGCTGTTGCCTTGAAAGAATCTTGACTTCGTTGAAATGTGTAGCTTGTTGTTGGAAGCAATTAACTTATACCTGAACTGAAATTCTGGTCTCAGTGACAAAAAGTTTTTCATCTCAAATGCTGAAACAACTGAGTCATCAAATACTCATCTCTGCATTTTCCCAGCCCTCTGGGAAATCTCAGCCCTATTTGGGGGCTGGAGCAGCCTGGCTGGGTTAAGTCACAGTAAACTCCTGAGGTTCCCCCAAGGCGTGAGATTTGCCTAAGCAAAAGAGAGACTGCACTGCACAAACCGCAGACACTGACCATAAGAGAAAAAAAAGGCATTACAAGATTGATACATTGACTAAAAAACTCACCAAACATCCAATTGCTTGTGAGTCAAAACAACTTCAAAGATTTTGTGTTTAGTTATGAAATATGTGTTCTGATAAAATTAATTTCTGACAAAATTTCTGTAGTTATTTTAAAGGTAAGAATGTGAACGAAAAGCTAAATCAAAGTCTTTCAGAAACAATTTTCGTGGGAATTTCTTGAGAAAACTGATGTTAGCTTTAACTGTAAATGCTCTCTATAGTTGCTCTCTTTGGACTTTAATAATAATAATAATAATAATAATAATAGAATTTTAAAACATACACCATCGTGCCTCCCAGAACAAACACACAGATCCAGGGCTAGAAAAAATGAACATAAGAGAAAACTAAATTATGTTTCTTGCACATAAATATTACATATAAAAAGATTATTGTGTACTCAGCCATTCAAAGTTTTCTATGCAACAAAATTCTACTCAGAAGCTAGTCTTGAATTCTACTCAGAAGCTAGTTTGCTCTCTCAAACATGGGCATATTCTGTATGCTATAAAATAAACAAAAATTTAGTATGTTTAATTCTTTCAAGATATTTAACCAAACCAATTACTGCACTGTTAGTCACAGCTGAAGAAAAACTTCTTAAAAACGGCTTCAGTATCTTTCAGGAATACTTGCTAATATAACCATGCAAACACATGCAATTTATGTGGCTTTACTAATCTGTATAAACACTAATAAAGTCACGCAAGTTGTGATTGGTAAAATCTAATGTAATGCAAAGGATTTTCCCACTTTATTCCTGACAACCTGCATTTGCAACCATTCACTTACTTTATTTTGAAATGGCTTTTCAATTACATTCTAGTGCTGTAGGGGAAAGCCTTTTGACAAAGGCATGACATAAACCATTTATATTGCAGCTCCATCATAGTTCCCATAGCTAAACTAGACTGGACAGTTCATTAAAAAGAAAAATTAATAGTACAACGTTGCAGGGAAACAATAACAGATTATGACTGGCCTGTGGCAGCCCACTGAATTCATGTAGTGGAATAAAAATGATTCCCCTGTCTCATAAATGAAGGTTTATTCCAAGGTTTTAAGCAGTCTATACTTCTGTTCCTTCATATGGAGAAGCTATACAGTTTCTTGTCTATAAAAGCAACACTTTGTAATTCCTGCAGAAGATTAATACGTACTCTTTTGGGATGGAAAGCACATATTTCATTATACTTTGAATGCATAATAACAAACATAATATAAAAGATAATAGAATAGAACACACTAAACAGCTACATCAAAGAAAAAACTAACCTTCTTGGAGATGGGCAGAGGCATGGAGGGGCAAAGCGAGGGCAGGATCAGGACTCAATCCCATCTGTTCTTATCTAAGGTAGTAACTGCTCTA